AAGAATGTAGAACTAAAGTTTGTGAATTCACTCAAAAGACAATTTGAATTTAGTGTAGATTCCTTTCAAATTATTTTAGATCCCATGTTAGACTTCTACAGTGACAAAAATGCTAAGCTAACCAAAGAATCCTATCCTGTTGTGGTAGCTGAAAGCATGTATGGAGACTTCCAAGAAGCAATGACACATTTGCAATACAAGCTTATATCTACCAGAAAACCTGAAGAGATAAGAGGTGGTGGCCTTCTTAAGTACAGCAACTTGCTAGTTCGTGACTTCAAGCCAGCTTGTGAAAGAGAAATCAAGAACCTGGAACGTTATATGTGTTCTAGATTCTTCATTGATTTTCCTGATGTAACAGAACAGCAAAAGAAAATTGAATCTTACCTCCGCAACCATTTCATAGGTGAAGAAAGGAGCAAATATGACTACCTTATGACCTTGCGTGGAGTTGTGAACCAAAGCACTGTTTGTCTCATGGAACATGAAAGAAGACAGACTCTCAACATGATCACATATATGGCTTTAAAAGTACTTGGAGAACAGAATATTCTTCCCAATACAGAAAATGTAACTTGCTTTTATCATCCTGCCCCATACTTTAATGCTCAGGGAGGGTACCCAATATATTATGAAACATCTGAGCCACCACCCATTTTCTTCCATCCATACCATCCGCTGTACTTTGATGTGCAAAATGATGTGGTTCAAAAAGCACACATATAACAGAAACTTTGCTTTAATTAAACACCTCTTAAGAGCAAGTTTCTAAGTTCTATAAAAATCAAGATCTATTTTTATTTTTTATCCAGTTACCAACTATTTTGCATCAATTCCAGCGTAAACCATCATAGTAAATATAATATCATCTGTGAGCTGGCAACTTTAAATGATTTTCAAATGTTATTGGCTAGTTTTGAGAACTTTTAAATGCTGTGGACCACTTGAAATGATTTTCAAGTCTGAATGACTACTTATGACTTTCAAATTTACTGTGACAAATACATTAGAGATGCCACATCTTCGACTGAAATATAACAGACTTATGTTTTAAAATCCAGAGGCATAGTGAAGACAAGTGCCAAAATGTTTATATTCAATCTGTTTCTTTGTTACAGTCACTTTATTTTTTCTAGTGAAAATACCACTGAAGAATTTTTAATACTTAACAGAAATGCCTAATTTCAAAGACAACAGATTCAGAGGCATTAAAACATGGACTTTGCCAGCATTAATTTTGTTTCCCAATTAAATTTGGTTAGATACATAATCCTACTATAGTTTGAAGGAACACTGGAAGAAATGGTTCTGGAAAACACTGGACATTAGTAATTTATCATCTGTACAGTGAGACAGTTAATTTGTGGATCTGAAAAATAATACCATCCAGCTATACAACCAACATTGTGACCAGTTATATAGTTTTCTCTCTCTCTCTCTCTCTCTTTTTTCTTTTATAACCCCTAAATAAGTTGAAAAGAACAAAAATTACCAACTTTGAATGTGAAAGCTTTCTGTCATCATCTGTTAAAAAGAGACTCTAAATGTCAAACCGGAAAGAACAGGCAGAGGTTCTTAGTCTTGGCATTTATCATTTCTCTAACCTCCTTGACCAACATCTTAATATGTCTATAAACATTCAGCTTTAGTAAGTGAAAATATTTTCCTTATTACTAAATGAATGATTTTTTTTCATTTTTCCTTAACCAAAGATCAGTTTCTGACCTACCATTCAAGTGCCTCCTCATGTAAGTTTTTGCATAACACCACAATTTATTCAACAATTGTATGCATTCACCATATAGCTGAATATCTACTCACTACATCAAATATGCCGCTGACAAATCTACCAGTGGGATTCAAAATGTATTTTCTTTCCATAATGAAAGTAATCCATGACCAATATTATCTGGAATGACAAACGGGGAGCTGTCCTCAATGAATATAAATAAGGCATTCAGAAAACTTCGATATTTCTACTTGCTTCTGGTTTTTTAAGTTTCCACATCAGTTTTCATTGAGCATAATGTTTTTCCATCAAGACGTGACCCGACATTCGTATTCTGAGAGTTTGTCACAGACTGTGTTTAACCTTTCTTCTCTGTGTTACAACATTGGACACAAGAAGTACACCAAATATGGCATTTTCAAATAACCAATATTTCTGAAATGTTATATACCACAGCATCACTGGCCATCAGTATATTTTTAAAGAAAATAATATATATCACAGAACCCTGAGGCTTTAAAACATTATATGGACTCACCCCCTTTTTGGGGACAAATGCAAAATTTATAAATACTATATTAAAAAGAAAATTCAGCAATCTGTCTACATATTGTATTGGCTAAAGATGATTGTTCTTTTTTCCCTAAGTATACTCTTTATGTTTCAGTTAATGGAAGTGTTTATACATAAAACAAGGTATTTATCAGTACCAAAAGACAATTCCAAAAGATATAAAGTATTTAAGAATAAAAGGACTGTGATAGTGATGTCATGTGTAAAGATTCAGTATTTTCCAGAATATCATTTTACATTGAATAGCAGAATTCTGAAGTTATTTGGAAATATCCTATCCCACATGTGCTCCCATAGCTTCCTTTGGTCCTATTGGGAATTCAGACTTCTTACCTGAAAAGTAAATTCTCCATGGTATTCTCCTAAAGCTTTAAGTCCTGATGGAACAATGGCCTGAAAGCTACATGCTTTCTCCTAACATTTCAAACGTCTGTTTCCCATGTTGTAAAAAAGTTCATAATTGGTATCTAAGATTTTCTCAACAGAATCTAAACCTGTTGAATGGTGATGATATTACTGAAGAGAAAGCTAAGGCTTTATTTCTCATGGCTTTCTTTCTATAGATATCATCAACAAGCTAGACTATTATTTGCTTCTAACCAACCAGAAAAAAGAAATATTTATCTTCTATAGTATATAAGTATCTCTCCAGAATTAGGCTAGTTGCCTTGAGAAGCAGTATTAACTCATTCTGTTCATTAGGATAATACATGGGAAAGTTTTTCTATAAATAGATGAATGCTAGCCTCTTTGCCTATAGAAGTTAACAGAAGTTATTTTTTTAAAGCTTACTTTAGAGGATATATATCATCCCATTGCCAGAGAAAAAAGGTGTTGTCTTTGCCTATTTTAATCTACAGCCATTTTATTTTCTACAAATCCAAGACCAAGCCTTAGTTTATGAAGCTTTGTTTTTGTTTTTGTTTTTGTAAACCTAACCAAAAACAAAAAAAGAAAACAATTTTTTTTTTTTGACTGGTAAGGGGATCGCAACCCTCAGCACAGTCTTGTCTGCACCACACTCAGCTAGTGAGTGCACTGGCCGTCCCTATATAGGATCCCAACCTGCGGCCTCGGTGGTACCAGCACTGCACTCTCCTGAGTGAGCCACGGGGCCAGCCCAAAAGAAAACAAATTTTTGGTATAATTTTAACATTTATGTCAGTGGGACAAATTTGGTGTCAGCTACAAGTACATTTTTTTTTTTAACCAGATAATTCTTGCATTTCCCAAATATCTACACATTATCAAAGCTCTACTAGCAGGGTATTTGTAACTTTTAAATTCAGAGATCGTCTTCTAATAGTGACTGGTATTCAGTTTAGTCAAAGAAAATTGAAAGAGAAGGATAAATTAGTTGTTTTAATTTAGAGATAACCCAGCTAAATGTAAGACAAAATATCAGAACTAGAATAGCTGTGAACTTCTCCCCCAAATTGGGAAATCACCCTGTGCCCAAATTCCATTTATTTATATTAGCAAGGTTCTATTAAAGTGAATCCAATGAGAGGTTTTAAAATTTGTCTTTAAAGCCACATTTTAGTTTTGGGCATTAATAAAGATAGTAGGCAGAAATGCCTCAGATGATTAAAAATCGTTTCATTTAGTGGATCAATTATCTAAAAGTAGTCATTCAACTTCAAAAATATGGGATGTTAACATAGAGAATTGAGAAAATTGTTGAAATTTTAAAGTTTGTAATGCTTTTCAAAATTATATTGGTTTAAGAATACAGCAGTTCAATTCATAGAGGATTTTAAAAATAATAATTTATGGGCCAGCCCTGTGGCACAAAGAATACAGCAGTTCAATTCATAGAGGATTTTAAAAATAATAATTTACGGGCCAGCCCTGTGGCACACTTGGGAGAGTGCGGCGCTGGGAGCGCAGCGATGCTCCCGCCACGGGTTGGGATCCTATATAGGACTGGCCGGTGCGCTCACTGGCTGAGCACGGTGCGGGCAACACCACACCAAGGGTTGTGATCCCCTTCCCGGTCACGAAAAGGACAAAACAAACAAACAAACAAAAAATAATAATAATAATTTACTGTGTAAATTAACATTAAAACAGGATTGGGAGATATGTGAGACAACGATTTGGTAAACATTCTCATGAAGACCACTTTGGCAAGGCATAAAACACAACATTTTAACCTACTCAGGGATATATTTGCTTTACTATTGTAAAATAAAATACATTTAATGATGTTTTGTTTTCGGTTGTGTTATCCTTTTTGTGGTTGTATTCTATATATTATAATGTTATAATTTATGTAACAAGTATTGGAAATCATATTCCTGATCCAGCTGCTCAATTTTATGAACATTTCATCAGCATGTATAACTGGAGGTAGCTAATTTGTTGGGACCTCAGTGTATTGCTCTTAATTGCTTTCATAAGGAAACAGTTTTCCTTGAATTTTGCATGTTTGAACAAAAACATACTATTTATAATATATGCTATTTGAAAACCAATTTAACATGTAACTGGTGATCTTTGAGTATAACACATTACATGTTTTGCTTTGCTTTATTATGGGGAACATGGGGTGGTTTTTCACAAAATTGTTGTGTTTATGGTAGTGTTACATGGATTGTTTTAGTGTTTGAAACAACAGCAGCAACAAAAACCTTTTTTATTTAGATGTAGCCCTTGAAAGAGCCCCACATAATTATTGATGAACTTTTTGCACATGTGCTTTTTATGACCCTTCAAAGAAACAAACGTCCCTATCCTAGAAAAAGAGTAGCATATAGATATACATTTTAATACCTCGGGGCAAAGTAACATAATACTTGTAAATGCATGAAATGTCCTTTCTAAGACAGAAATGTCTTGAGAGGGCCCTTTGCAAAGTTTTCTCTTAGTGTTTCAAATTAAAAGTGTTGGATTGAATAACCCAATTCAAGTAATTTCATGGTGATTTATGACAATTCACTTCTTATACATTCTAGGCTGGTGGTAGAATTTGAGTCACTAATAAATAGTCCACTTTACATTATAAATAGACATGGTACAGTCACGCTTAGTCCTTTGGCTCAACTAGAGAATACATAAGAGTGGGATTGAATTCTTATTTTAGCATTGGTATAGCCTTGGAGATATTAGTGGGGCAGATTGGTCTCCATGAAAATGACAGTAGAGAGTGGTATGAGTGTTCACACTAATATCCTATTCAGTAATTTCATTTTTATTATAGGAAGACGACATGAACAAAACTTTTTTATGTAAAATGTGGCTTCAATCCCAAAAGGAAAAATAATACAGATATTGTAATATCCTTGACTTGTAAAATCAGAGTTAGAAAGGGAATTTCTATATATTTGTAGTAGTCACAAAATATTTCTTTAGAAACTGATTTGATAGCCATTGACATTTATGTTTTCTGTTTTAAAACTTTATACAAATGTTCACCTCCTCC